TTCGGTAGGACTCCTTGGGCGGGCGATCAGCTCGTCGCAAGGCCTCTACCTGTACACAAACACAGAAAACCGGACACACACAAAAACTGAACATCCATGCCCTGAGTGGGATTCGAACCCACGATCCCGGTTTCCAAGCGAGGGAAGACAGTACATGCCTTAGACCGCTTAGCTACCGTGACCGGCCTACATATTTTTACCTGCAAGAAATTCCGTCCATGTCCTTTCCGTAACCTGAGGGTATATCTCTGAATCTAGTAATCTTTGTACAATAACCTATGATTGGAAATTACTGAACATAATCAAGATAAGAGACTACTTGCTTGCTACTGCTAAGATAGTGAAGAAAATTCGGTGCCGCATGACAAGATATTCTGCCAATCTGCCAATACTTAAAGATTAATATTTTCGGGATGTGATGGCATGTACCTAGTAGAGCATTACTAATGTTTCAGGGAGTTCTGCTGCCTGTCTTCTGCCCTGGAAGTTCCTCCGAAACGTGGGTAACTATTTACAAGACTGCATGACGTCAAGGCTCAAATGAATTAATCTTCATATTACCAGATGTGAAAGTCTCAAATCTGGAAGGTGCATAAATATTACTCAAGGGTAAACTGTCACAGAGTCAGTTTTTCATTCTGGTATGTTGAGAATGCTTTAACCTGCATCATACCCGTTACTGAACTCGTCTTCCTGTCGGCATACTCGCTCTGCTCTGGTCCTAGGAATCCTGGGATCGTGGAGAGGCATGTGAGCTCCAAGTGGCCTAGAGATCCCATGTGAAGTTCCACAACGTCAAGAATGAGTTGGGCCGTCAGACGCTCTCGGTCCCGATGTGGGAAAAGCCTCAGTTGGCTCTCCTCCACCTGCAGAAGAAGCAGAAGACTTAGAAACATGAAGTCCTTCCTGGAAACTGCGGCTGTGTACCATAAAGTACAAGAACAATACTAAAAGGCTCGTGTTGGAACAGACAGAAAATTTAATTTTACAGTTTTGTGATATTTGTAGATCTCACAGAAGTCACTGTGAACATTACAATGTTCATGGATCTTACGTCGTGTAGCCCAGAAGATGTTTACCGACGTTTCGGATGGACGTGTTGCCTGCATTTTCTGGGCAGAACAGTAACCCCATAGGGGACAAACTGGTATTGTTATAGGGGCAGACAGGCCGAAGTTGGGATCCTGAGGATAGAAATGTGTGTAAATGAACGGTAAAAAAGAAATGAGGCGCTTGTAGAGGGTAAAATTGCTGGACACAGAGCTGGGAGTAAAGTGGTTCTGTGTGACAGGCGTGTGACATAGGAAAAGGAAATAATGATCCTAAAGGCCTTGTTCAGCGACAGAGTGGATGTGACGAAAACCAGGGGAAAAAATAGGGGCTGAAAAGAAGGCGTGGAAGGGGAAGGGCGCAAAGGTGAATGAATTCGATACCTCAACATGTCCAACTAATTTATATTAAAAAACAATATTACATATACATACATATAACTTAACAGAGAACAAATGTTAGGTCTTTGTTTCAGAATTAGTGTTATAGTACTGTTGTATGAAATATAAGTTAATTTTGTATAGAAAATTCTGATGACGAAATTGAGGGGATCAGGTCTTTCGAAGAATTTAGGATAGTTCGGAGGATAATATTGTCATGTGTACGAATAACTATAGATGGGGTTTTGTTTGGTAGTCGGATTTATAGGACACTTTCACCACACAAATCGTGACTACACTTTACAGATAACTGTCACACAAATACAAGTGTCCTCCGTCACGGGCTTCACTGCGCTGCTTGGTAATGCCTTCCAAGAGAGGAAGATCCTCTGTTCCCATGCTCACGCCCTCGCAGGCTGGCGGCCATCTCACACCAACCTCCCCACTCTTCTAACTGGCGTCTAAAGACTATCGGTTATTCAAAGTCAAAGTCACATTGCGACTGACGGTCAGTCAGTAAGTCTTGGTGTCGAGCCCCATCTTTGGCTCGTAACTAGATATTTATTACTGTTCGACGGTTATGATCTTGTTATTATGGGGCGCCATCTATGACAAGAGAGTGCAGTCTTTCGTGGGTCCGAGTCTCTTAGGACTCGCGACTATATTTTAGACGTCCCTTTTCGTCGCCTCCTACAATCGCAGGGTTCCATCCTACTTACATGCACTGAAGAGCAAGGCATTTCTGTACAGTTACGTGTAAGTAAGTAACATGGGTCAAAATTATCTATAAAAATATGATGGAAACACGTACAGGGCCTGCCAAAAGGAATGCTGGGAATTAAAACACCTGCAAATCAGGAACGAAAACGGATGTGACAATGTTGCTACCTGCAGTGTTGTCTTAAAACCGAACAGATTCACCGACGCACGTTGCCCGCGCGTTTCAAACGTAGCTAATGGTCAACAGCTTTGATTACGTGTTTTGTGCCACCAGTACAATGTCTGCCGTACGGCAGAATACAAACTACATGTTGTCCGAGACTTACAGTAGGTTATAAATAGCTTAAATCGCAGTTTGCCTCAAAGATGTACACAAAAATATGTGAACATCATAATTTTCCAAGTCGTAGCGTTTTCATTGATGAGGAAATATTTCACATCTCTTGACGTGACCATCGGCATAACTTTTGTCATATGGGGTAGTAAGCCTACCAGAGAACATTTGGAACACGAAATGAATGAGCCTAATGTGAATGTGTTGTAAGCGCTGACATATGAAAAAGTCCTCGTCCAATTTTTCTTTGATAGGTTTAATTCATTCTCAGACTTGTTGGAAAACTATACTCTTCCATAGCTAAACAACAATAATCTTACGCTTCTAACTGGACGGTTATTTTATTTTGTTCACACTGTTCGCGAATTTTTGAACATGAATTTCGTAAGTCGAAGGATAGGAAGAGAACGGCCAATTACGTGGCCCCCACGTCCTGATCTTGGGCCTTCGGACTTTTATATTTGTGACTATGTGAAAGACCACGTGTATAACTAAAGAGTGAATATGCCGCATTATCACATGTTATAGCGCGCATGGCAGTAGTAGGGCTGCAGGTGGGATGTATGGAGAGCTACAGACGAAGCTCGTTGTGAAGAGTTCAAACCTAACAACATTTCTATGTGTGCAATAAAGAGACGTTTTAACTGATAAATAATATACTGCCCATAATGCCGTCGTATCTGCTTGCGTCAGTAAGCTACAGCCCTCTATGAAGTGTGCAGTTGAGCAATGAGGTTAGGACATAGTGCCATGTATTGTACCTAGTTTCCAAGTGACTGGTAATTTATTATTTGGTGGTTTCGCAGTGACGTCAATTTGATTTCAGCCTTTATGGTTGAAACTGTTAGGCCTCTGTGTCATTTCGAGGCTGCCATGGTGAATAATTTATTTGGCATAACTGACTACCGAAACTTTGTTCATAATTTATTATTCTGACTGAATACAAGGTCATGTTATTTTGGAACTGGCCATGAACAATTTATCTCACATGACCCAGAATGAATGCTGTGAGAACTGAAAGATATAGTGCACCTGCTGAAATACGGAAATTAACAATGAAAGGGTTAAAATTTATCAAGTAGAATTGATGAAAAAACGGCGGTTGACCGATCTAGTTTGTTTGGTTCATAATACGAAAATATAATACCCATAGCGCTGTCATCAGTCAACAGCAATCCAGCCGAACAGACAATATCTGATAGTGCAATATACAATAAGTGATTCTTCATTCAGTAAAAGCGAAGGAAAGAAAAATTAAACAGTTATAAAGTTCATATTCTGAAACTGAACACGATAAATGGTGCGAGATTCTTCGTATATACGCTACAAGAATGTTACGAATTGCATAAACATTACTGTGATATAGCTACATATATCTAACGCCCTTCTTGGGACGCTAACATTTGTCGCTATACGAGATATTCTCCGCGATTTTATGAGCCCGAAGGTTGATTACTGTGTTCACAAGGGCCCGTCACTGAACATTATCCTCGGCCAGTTCAATCCAGTGCAAACCCCCCTACATATTTCAATAACATCCGCTCTAATATTGCCCTCCTATCTACGCACGGGTTTCCGACAAGAATTACACATGTGTCTGTGTGCATTTTATCACCCTAATAATATCTGGGGTAGAACACAAATTGTAAAGCTCTTTACTGTGCAGTTTCCTCATCCTTTTGTTGCTCCCCTCTCGGAGGTCTAGAAATTCATTTCTGCACTCTGATCTCAAGAGCCCTGAATCCAAACACTCCCCTTCGGGCGGAACACCAAGTGTCACACCGACACGCATCAACATAGCCGCATTTGTTTACTTCCCGAGTAACTGGAACTAAGGCTCTCTCAGCTGTAGTAATTATATAATATAAAGAGAAGTTATTTCAGAGAAATATGGAGCACGCGGTAACGTAGTTGATTGAGGCACTATGCTACAAGCCGGAAGGTCGCGGTTTCGAGTCCCGAAGTGGTGGATTTTTTTTTCAATTTAACCAAGCCTTCCAGCCGCACTATGGCCCAAGGGTCGACTCAGCCTCCAACAAAATTAAGTAGCTGGATTCTTCCTAGGGGTATAGGGCGGTCGGCGCGTAAGGCTGACAACCTCACCACCATCTGTGAGCCGATTGTCTAGAGAAAATGTGGGAGCCTCGACGTCTCACAATCCTATGGGCCTTCACGGCCTGTTACCTTAAGGTTGAAATGAAGTCTGTTTCGACTTAAGCTTTAAGTCGGGGAAGATGCAAACAAATGTAACGGCTTATACCCCGAGTGATATTGCATCATCGTACAGGGGATGGACAAAAATATGGAAACACCCAACAAAAAACACATTACCGTGACTAATATGGTGTAGGACAACCTCTGGCTTGCAGAACTGCTTGCAGTCTCCTTGGAATGGATAAATAGAGGTCCTGTATGATTTGCAAGGGAATCCTGTACCTTATCTTCCTGAAAAACATGGTAAGCTCTGTTATCAATGGTGGAGGTGGATAGCGCGCAAGCAGATTGCTCTCCAAAACAGACCACAAAGGCTCAATAATATTGATATCTGGTGATTGTGGGGGCCATGGCAGACGTGTCACTTCATCTTCGTTCTCAGAAAACCAGTCCTGGACGATGTGAGCTATGTGAACACAGGCATTGTTGGCTTGGTAAATGGCATCACCATTAGGGAACAAAGTTTGCACCATGGGATGGACCTGGTGGCCCAAAATGGCCACAAAGTCGTTGGCAGTGACGTGACCTTACAGGGTAATGATGGGTCCGACAGAATACCACGATATGGCTGCCCATACCATGATCGAACCCCCCCCTTTTTTTACTCTTGGCAGCAAACAATCTGGATCGTAAGCTTGGGATGGCGTTCTCCAGACGTAAACTCGGCCAGAAGTCGGAAACAGTGTGAAGGTGGACTCATCCGACCAAATGACCGTCTTCCATTGCTCCATAGTCCAGGTTTTATGACTTCGGCACTACACTGTCCTCTTAGTGGCACTTTGATCACTGATGAGTGGCTTTGGAATTGCAGCTCGTCCAGATATACCCTGCTCGTAGAGTTCCCTTCGTACTTTTTTTGGTGCTGACAGGCTTTGTGACCTTGACAGTCAGTTCAGCAGTCACTTTTGCAGCTGCAGTCTTCTTATTTTTCATCACAATCCTTCGCAATGTTGTTCTGTCTCGATCACTCAACACACATTTCCGTCCACGTTGGTGTTTATCGGATGCGGTTTTTTCAGTCCTCCTGTATACGGTCATAATCTTGGATCCTGTGGTGTTGGGCAGATACGACAGGGTGACCTACAAATGTCGCTAAAATAAACACTTCAATTCAGGCATGCATTTCACGAGGTGTTTCCATATTTTTGTCCATCCACTGTACTTAAGGAACTGCATATATCCTTTGAATGCATTAGGCCAACTGGGAATGAAGTTGCGTGCTCTGGAGGTAGGAACCTCGAGGAGCTGTACCACCTGAAGCAATACAGGGGACCTGGAACGGGAAATGTTTCCTAACGGCGCCATATTACCCGTACTTCATGAATGTGGAAAAAACCGGAAGTTTTGGGCCATTTGATGCTGACATAACTTCGAGCTCTTTTCTGTGTTCTCTGAGCAGTCACCACGAATATTAAGAGAGAGTGACACCGTTTTTAGGACTTCCTGCCCGGGGTATCTCCTTAAACAGGTTAATTTCGTTATTTAACGAGATTACACAGCGTCGATGATAGGGTGAATAATGTGTGTACAGCATAAAGCAAAATTGGTAGAGGAAACGAAGGTACCCAGAGAGACAACATAATCTCACTCCGTCTGCTACAAAGCCCGTATAACCTGACTTGGGTTTGAAGTCGGACGGCCGCGAAAAGCCGGCGACTAACCACCTGAGCTACGTCATGCCAGCCTCCGTGTAACTCCTCTTGCAACTGTGAGCCCATCTCGTTCCTGCCCTATAGTGCGCCCCCCCACCAAACACGAGAGGAAGAACTGTGCCCTCTCTACGAGAACAAAACTGTGTTGAACAGTCTTGGGGTGTATCGTTCTAGTTCCATCCTCAGGTGATAGGTTATCAATACTCTTAGTTACTATAGGATTCTGACGATGGTCTATAACACATAGAGATATTGGGTATTTGGACTTTATCCATTGTCCTGGTTTTAAGATAACTAAGACAAAACAAGACGTTTCGGAAACTGGATCTGTTTCCGTCCTCAGTTAGCCTCAATCACTGCTCCAGTGATTGAGGCTAGCTCTTTCTAAGGGACCCAACAGAATAGGTGTTTTCCCTCACCTGAGGACGGAAACAGATCCATATATATATATATATATGTATAAGGGAGTAAATACTGACAATGGACTTACTAATATGGATTATGACTGACAAATGACAGACCCGACCTCTCATCAGAGAGGGCACCCCAAATGGACAGGACAGTAACTTTCGTATAAGAAGAAAATATCTGGTCAAGAGCCCCAGCTGGGACTCGACACCAAGACAGACAGACTGACTGACCGTCAGTTGCAATGTGACTTTGACTTGACTTGATAAGGGAGTTTTATAATGTAACTGATTATTAGTGCACAGAAACAATCAGCGGAAACCACATACCTAAAGAAATCCCTATAGGCCGAAACATTTCGTAAACACATATAAATCGTAATTTAAGTCTTAAAGCTACATTCTACAACAACAGTTGTATTATAATACTGCTTCATACATAAGCCAATTAATATCTAGTGTGCCCATGTCAAGAACCGTGGAACTATACCTCCACTCCCCAGCATGGCTTCATGGCACAATGCTTATTTAATCAAGCACGGGACAACATTACTTTTACCTTTGAATGAATATATTTTAATTCCGAATTTTTCTACCGCTGATTAAATAAATGAATTGGTGGCAATGCCAGACAATAAAACGCTACCACATCGCAATACATTCATATGCATATTTCGTTAAGTTACGAGGAAGAGTCAGTAAACAGGTCACATATGAATATAAAACGTAAAACACGTGGCATTCGAGCCTATAAGAAAATAATTTCTAGACATATCCTCCACCAACAATGATACACTTGTCCCATCACTTTGCCCGTGCGTTGAAACCGGCAGCATACAAGTCTCATGCCTGTTCCAGTCACTACCGCACTTGTTCGGGAATCATCTGTGACTTTTGGACGTCTTTCTCCACCGAGTTGTTAACCGCTTTTGGCAACAAGCGCTTCCCAACGTAACCAGGAAACATTTCTCTATAAATATCCTTTGCATTGAGTCCCTTTTTCCACGGAAGCGCTCAACAGAACGCTACTCTTCGGCAGTGAACACCTTAAACACAGTCGCCATTTTGACCACTGAAATCAGCATATGAACATGAGCATGCGCATCTGCTACCTAGACTGTCATGAAGCTGGACTATGCTGCTACGTAATGATATAAATAGAAAACCTATTACGTTCATTTCAGACGCTTTACTTTCATTTGTGACCTATTTACCGGATCTCACTTGTAGCAATAAACAATGAATTCAAATAGAATTATCTGTACAGTGCTGACGCTGCATTTTCCACACGCTCCACTCACTAGATAACATTTGCAAACCCATACATTTTAACGTCAAACCGAAAACTGTCCATCATTCGGCTAAAGATAAGTTAAGTGTTTAAACATGTCTGTGAACCTCGAAATGTCAGAGTAGAATGTAACCAGAGGCTATTATTGTGAAACCAGAACCAGACCGTTAGAACTGTTTATTTCTGGAAGGCTATTAAAATTCTGGTCAGCCTCCATGCCCCTACGTCAGAGGGCACAGTAACGACATATTGTGTCAAAATATCTTCATAATACACAGGCCGGTGATGACATGAGAACACTTCAAAATTACCACTATACAAATATATATGACCGCCTGAATGTAATTCGTAATTCAAAACTAATACCGATTTCACAGGTAGTGTTCCATAATTTGCAAAACTAGTGCAGTTCCATTTGATGAGCTCTTTAACAAAATAAAAAGAAGATTCTGTGTGGAGGCAATATCTGTCTAAGTGTCTCGGATTTATTAGCATACGTGTATGAAGCAGTGGATAGATTTTGTCAGAATTCGACATGACAGACCCAAATTAATTTGAACATTACTAAGCCTATGTAGGCGAGCCGGGATAGCGCAGTGGGTATAGCTACTGGCTACGGGCTGAAGACCGAGAGGCCGGAGTTCGAGTTCCGTTAGGGTAAAGAATTTTCTCTTCTCCAATCGACCAGACAGGTTCTGGGGTCCAACAAACCTCCTATACAATGGGTACCGGGGGCTCTCTCCTTGGGAGTAAAGCGGCCGGGTCGTGAAACTGATCACTCAACTCCAACTAGAGCCGAGGTCAAGAAAATGTGGCTGCATACATCCACTCCCCCATACGACTTCAAGGCGTAGTGCTTAATTAGCTAAGCACAGGGACAACTTTATCTTTACCTTACCTTAAGCTAAGAATATGTAGAGAAAATGCAATGAACTTCAAGGAACTCTTTGGAAAGTTTGTGAACTATGAGAATGTTATGGATTGCACCATCTCCATTCTTGTTACATGTGGGTATGTATCAGTAAAGACGTCACAGTATGTAAGAACTATTCCGGTCAGCCAATTTCTCAACTTGCCACCCGCTTTCACGAACCACAATTAGTTGTAACACAATCTTACTCTAACTATAACTCTTCGTAACTGGGAACAGTGCGAACACCACATAAACTAAAGGCTTCACTTCTGACTTCTTGGTCTGTAGTCTGCTGGACTCTGCTTAACTCTCCTTGGCTGACTCACTGTCTGTCGGTCTGTTATCACCTTCTTCAACAGAAGAGTTATAGCGTCCATAGCCGTTACTGTGTTCTGACCGGTTCGTTGCCTTGGGAACAACCTTCACCAGTCCGTTGCAACAGAAACGTACTCATATGAGTTACCTAAGAATCAGCGTCTTTGTACGCAATAGATCACTTTGCAACCGCTCTTACGCCCTTTATTTTCTGATGTTGATTGGGTTCCGGTGGCAATGAAAGTCTTCCTCAGGATCGTTTACGGGTCTTGGATTATGAGACAAAGGGTAATGATAATGCGACTGCACACATTACAATTGCTTACTGGTTTAATATATTATTTGCAGAACACTTCTATCCGTCGGAATTACCAAATTAGAAGTCCCCCTTGAAGCCCGGACTATATCCTTGAGTTTGGGGACATTAATTCTCCCACCCTCGCAGATATATGTCTTCATTGCTTCTCATTCGATCATTCAAACGGAAGGCGGGTGTTACAACTTTGAATCCTCCAATTCCTTCTTACAATTTTATCTTCGAAGCCGCTGGTCCAGCGATATTCCCAACGATTCCTGAGACCTCGCTGGACTGCAGCTGCGAAGTGTAATATTTCAAACGATAAGCGGCATCCTTTGCTCATAATATATGTATTTATATTGGCTTCACGTAACAACGGACACTATGGCACCACTATTCCGTGCCGCAGGGATATAAGTGTCAGTTGTTTATACTCCGCTTACACCAAGTCTTACTCTTAATATTCCAATTTAATCACTAGCTTAAATTGGACGACTTCAACTTCCTCCGTCGAATTCGTTACTGAGCGCCTGGCACTGCCTCTACTATTGCGGCTTTCAGGCGTCATATCACACTATAAACCGGACCATGTTGTGCCATGTTAAATTCCTGGTAACCATGGATATTCAGTTGGGCGATTTCAATAACTCTTATATCTGAAAGTTACCCCGAGAGAAGTCCAAACTGAGGTACTCTTCTTAAGGGCTTACACTTTCCACGTTTCCTTTATTACCTAAGTGAAGAAATTTTCCGTTTCGTTCGCATTCTCTGCTGTTTTCGCCGATTTAATTGTAAACAGAGAATTAACTGCTCTATACGTGTGTGTATATTCGTAGCAGCCGATGTCTGTGTGTTCACAGGACCAGATCGTCTAAGTTCGTCTCATATAAGTCGTACATACATTCATTCGAAGAATGTAGCTACGTATCGGAAAATATTTTACAGTAAACTGTACCTAAAAATAAAGCTATTGTTTAATTAATTAAGCGCCACTCCATGAACACATATGTGGAAGTTGAGGAATAACTCCACCTTTCCTCACCTTGGCACTAGAAGAAAGTAAGTTGTCAGCTTCACGCTCCTGCCGCTTTATTCATGAGAAAATCACTTCCTGTAGGCTGGGTTGGCCTCAGAGCCAGTTTCGACGCAGTGGGAAAGAGAAAAATACTGCCTCTGCCGTTAATCGAACCCCAGCGTCCAACCCGTAGCCCGTCCATATATCGACAACGAATTTATACCTTAAAGAGTAAGTGTGACACACAAATTCGTTTTATAATTTGCAATGAACGTAGCTTTTACAGGAACAGTTATTATTTTCCTGAATGACATTAATATTCTGTCCATGTAACGCAAATCAAGTGTTTTCTGTGGGTAGAGATCGATTCCCAAATATTTAGATGGATTTAAGGCTCCATGTGTTAAAACAGAGAGAGGTCTAGTACCACGTAGCGCCGTATCGCCCGGGTACCCTATGCATTGACCTCGGTATGCCTGTATACAATGAACTGACTGTAGTTGTCTTGCAGTTGACCAAGTCGGGTCAGACGGGAAGCAGAGTTCGCGCCATATCGATTCCACACGTACAGGATCGATAGTTACCTGTTCCCTAAATATCTCGACAGCAACAAACAGCTGTAGCTGTTGAATAATGCATTCCGTGCGCGGGAACTGGAGGGCAGCGCCACTGTCATGAACCGCGGCGACTGCCACAGCGAAACAGTGACAGGGGAACCACTTCCCAGGAAAATTGCATCACGTGATTGTGTTACATAACCTGAATTATTAGTCGTTTGTTTCGTGCGTGTCATACGCTATCATGTGTCATGTTAAATTGTCCTCTTGTTCTTAACTGGAAACAACGTGCTGTACATGATTGTTTCAAGGGCAAATTCTTTTATCAACAAAAAATATATAGGGGTCACCCATAGCTCAGTCGGTATTGCGACTGACAACGGTCTACGGGCTGAACAGCTGAGGAATAGGGGTTAGGTTCCCGGAAATGCCATGGAATTTTTCTCTTCTCCACAGCGTCCACCCAGCCTCCTATACAAGAGGCAAGAAGGGATATTTTCTTCGGGGTAAAGCGGCTCGAGCGTGAAGCCTACTACTCATCTCCGTCAAGTGAAGGGCTACGAGTACTTCCACTGCTCCCTGGCGTCTTCACGGCGTGGTATTTGCTTAATTAATTACAGGTGTAAAATTCATCTTTTTACCTTACATCCGATTTACATGAATTTCGAAGTGACGCGATTTCATATACTTTTAACGGAATCTTTTTGTAAAGACTAAATATAGTAATTAGTATTATATTCGGGATTAGTGGAGTTTTGGGCTTTGTCTGTCGTCCGGTATTCCAATGAACACAGAGTTTCGGGAACCGGTACTGTTTCCGTCTTGATGTGAAGGGATGCATATAATATTGCGGTTAAATCTTCCTAAAGGAGTAGGTGTCTCCCAGCTCCTCACCTGAGCACGGAAATAAAGTCAACTTTCGATACGTTTTTCTTTAGAATACCAGACGGTGGACAAAGTAAAAAAATCCAGTAATCCAGGATGTTATAACCCATTACCAGAACTGTAAATCTACCTGATACTACGTGCCCCCCCTCCCCACACAAGAAATGATGGCTAGTCAACAGAGCCGTGATAGCGCAGTCGCTATAGTGACTGGCTATGAGCTGGACGACCGAGGAGTCGGAGTTCGAATCCTGATTGGGTCAAGAACGGCAATAACACTTAATTTTAAACACTATATTCAACATGTTGTGACGTATCTGCGCTATGCAGGACACCCCCTCCCCAGCCAAAGGTGATGTAACAGCGTCGGAGAGCTGTCGCTGCTACGGTAACAGGCCAGCCAACACTCTGCCCCCGTCCCCCGCGGTGACGTAACAGCACTTCTCACTATGACGTAACCGGGGATACCGCTGTTGACACAGGCAACAGGGAACGATATAAAAAGCCGGCTGAGCAGTATGTGAGGAGAGTCTGTGATGAGGAGCGACACAGTGCGGATCGTGAAGTCGCCCACTGCAGTTGAAGTCTAGCAGTCACCGAGTGCAGCGGAAGTAATTGTGATATTGCCCATGGCAGTAATTGTGTTATTGTGAATTGTATGAAGGTGAGAGCGAATTTGTAATAAAGTCGCCAGATCTAGAACGGCGTGATGTTACTTGTCACGTTATACACCCAACACGTGACAATATTTTCATGTAAATTAAAGAGAGTGAAACCAAAGGATTAACAAAAGTTACTGAAACTGGATGTGAAAGTAAGATTCGTGTTCAACTGGCTAAATGGATGGCTCGAAGTTCTGCCTTTACAATCACGGCGTTGAATAACGTTCTGAGGTCCTCACGACGAAGACTTCACATTCTGGTCTACTGGGTTGTGGCACCATGCAGCCTGGTAAGTAGACATCAAAGCTTAGGAGGAACATGTTGTCTCCGTCTTCTAAGTCGAAGTGCGTGATGTTGAGGTGTTACAGCCACTGTTCCACTCCACTATTTATAGGCCCCAAACTAAGCCAGTTTCTCGCCGTACACTCCTTGACCCGGAAGCTAAAGGCATATTGTTCTTTACCCACAAGATTAAACGATCTCACAAACCAGATGACAGTATTGTGACGTACACACCCGTTGTTCGACAACGACTCGGTAAATGCATTCCCGTGAGAGCCAACACGCCCAATAGGATATCCATTACTAGCCAACGGACCGGTAAACACGCTTCCTTAACAATAGAGGCTATTTTCTGTGTGGTCCGTGCCGAAGGGTTATAAAACAACACATTCAGAAGACGCGAAGCACTCCCGTGTGGAGGCGGCGTCGAATACATCCATCGTGACCCTGCGAGTCGTAAGAGGCGACCAAGAGGGAAGTGTCAAATCTGAGAAAGTAATATATGGTCGCGAGTACTAAGGGACACGGCTGAGGAAGGCTGTGCTGGCAAGGACCAGCAGCTTATAAAAAAAGACAGACCCGTCCTTTCGTCAGAGAAGGCGCCCCACAAAAAACACCAAGACTTACTTACTGACTGACTGACTAACCGTCAGTCGCAATGTGACTTTGACTTTGAGACGCGACGCGACCAACAAACAAAAGACAGATCCGTCTTCTCGTCAGAGAGGGCGCCTCACAATAACAAGACCGTTACTGTCAAACAGTAATAAAGATCTGGTCACAAGCCTCAGATTGGGCTCGACTTCACGAGTGACTGACTGACTGACCGTCAGTCGCAATGTGACTCTGACTTTGATTTTGACGCGACCAAGTAGAGCAGTTGAGTTTAGAAGTGAAGAGTCAAGGTTCGAGAAGCCAGCCTACCAGGATGTGAGGTTGGGGAGCAGAGGAACTGAATTGAGTCGAGTCTTCTGAATTAGCGGCTGCAGGATAATGACAAGAAGACTTCGTGTGTGATTTGAAATTATAAGTAAGACTGTGACAAATCCGTTGTCAGGACACGACTAGTGAAGACTGAGAATCCTAGTGCCTGCGGAACGGTGAACCGGAAAGCGTGTAGAATAGCGATAGAGCTGTAATGAATCTTCGGGGCTCATAAAAACGATTCCTATCCAAAGAACGGGTTAAGTGCATTCTCGGTTCAGTTATGCAGTGCTCAGCAGAAATTCAGGTTTGTCGGCATCACTAGGTTCCCTACAGCTTCCAGCGCCATAGATGCAA